ATCTACTATGCCGCTGTGTTCGTGCGCACATAATTCACGTAAACAGGCAAAGTCCAAATTCAAACTGTGCACGAGGTTGAATTAAACCTGGGCTCTGATACCAATTGTTGGGTTCTATGAGGAACGTCAAACAACATGCTCAGTATTGAACTTATCGAAATAAACCCTAACGCAGCGGAATCTATAGTGAGGATGTGGACATTACCTTTTAAATTTTTTGCCGACTCAAAGACGATGTTGAATACCGTTGATGCAGTTCATCTGAACACCACAATCTAATGGGCTGATAGATTTGGTCATTAATCGATTCTAATCGAAAGTTCCAACGAAGCTCGATTGCATGGTGGTCGTGTTTCGGTGTCGGGTGCAGCAGGCTGGTCATGGATGGTGGTCGCGGTCGGCAGTAGGTGCGCGTCAGGCGCTGGGCGGGTGCGTGCACGCAAGGCAGCACTCATATGCCGAGGCGGACAGGCGCTGGCGACTGACTTCACGCGGGCGTGCGTGACTGTAACGCCCCAAAGATTTTTTAAGACATTTCCGGACTTATCCAAAAATCTTGTTTTAAAATTTCTAAACCATTTATCGATTTATAAAACATTTGGCGCTACTCGAGAACTTTTCAAAGCTAAAACACATAATCAGCATAAAGGAAACGAGAATATTCAGCATAATTCAAGTTCCATGACTAGATTTCAACATATCTAGCAAAATGATTGTCAACATAATCCAAACTGATAAAAATAATCCACATGGTTCGACAGTTCAACCAATCCCAAAAGCAATAGGGAAAAATGAAAAAGTCTGATAATCTCAACATAAATATCAAAGCATGCAGAAGCAATATAAAGAGACAATAATGTTTGACCATCCACTGGTCTTCAGTCTCGTCATGCCCAACACGTGCTTAACCTGCATCCGTGAAGAGCAGGTGGGGATGAGCACAAATATAAACGAGGTGCTCACCACTATTCATAATATATTGGTAAGAAGCCTATACTAGAGTCATATGCAAGTACATGGTCAAAAGACATAACACACCACTCTCCTACTCATCACTATACTCATGTGCACACCTATCAAAAGCCGCCAGGGGTAAGCCCAAACTAGTCAGCGGGAGTACAATCGTGCCGAGGTTCAACATCAACGGTCACGGCCCATCGACTAGGCTAAAATGAGTCTACCTATCACAAAGTTGGAGATCGCCCACCACTAGGACCGTCTCATGACTCACACATACATTCATAAAACAGAAAGTATAAAAATCTTACCTCAATTATAACATAGCAAGTTTTTAGATTAAATCCCACCTGAAAATCGAGGTAGAATATCACACGAAAGCAAGTTCGTAGGTCGAGGGCTCGACTCCTCAAACACCTATATTTAAGCGAGATAATATATTAATAATCTATCTCACTACTCGAATTTAACATAAAACCCATGCTTAATAAAAATTAAGACTTAAGGGTTTTAATCGGATTTTTCGTTGACTTGGAACTCTCAAATTTTAGAAAAATGGAACTCGGAGAATTAAAATTGAAGTTTCGGGACTTAAAATAATTTTTCCAAATTTATATCATTTTGAAAATATTTTTAAAATTAAATTTGGTATTAAAAACGGGCTCTTAAACTCAAAGTTGACAAAAAGGCCGCACTATAATTAAAACACTGTTGGACTGTGCTAAAAAGGCAAAGAAATTGGGCCTCAGCGCTTTGGGCCGCAATCAAGGCAACTGGGCCGAAAATTAAAGTCTAAAGGGGCTGGAAATGGGCAAAATAAAAATTGGAAAAATCATTTCAGGTTTCGAACCCCTGACATGGAGTAGAGGAACAAGACTCGCGCACCGCTGCGCCAAACGTCGACTTGTTAGTTCTCACAAACTCGTTTTTACTTAAACTAAACTAAACGCCTGCGACTGAAAAAAAAAAGGACAGATGCGAGCAGACTGACAGCAACTCCAAACAGAAACTCATACAAGGACACAGTCTGAACAAAATTCGACCAAATTCAACGGCTTCATATTAACGGCAACTGGGATCGAGAGGTTACCAACAATAACATATTTTCAAAGTTCCGAAACATATTTTTAACAACAATTTTGGCTCGAAAATGGAATAACCAAATATAAAAACAAAAAGGACGACCGGGGGTTCGAATGACCCGAACAACCTAACGACGACTTGAAACAACAAAACGAGACTCCGAACTTATGCACATTTCTCACAGTAACACAACGGTATTCACGTTTATGAAATCGAGAGTTCCAATCATTTCCGAAAATCCACGTATAAACGAAATTTACATATAAACAATTAAATGAACCAAAAACAATCCGACTTCAAATCAACTTTCGGTAAACCGAACACATCATATATATAACGTGCGATATATGAAAACGACCGCAATAAAGAGAGGATTCGAATAAGTTACCCGACTTCGGGAAACTACGAGTTATTGTACGGGAAACGGACCAAACAACGGGACAGCCGAACGGCTTTGGGAACTAACTGCTCGGAACTTGAATGCAGAGACAGTCAAATGGTCCGTTGCTCCTCGATTACACAAACTCGCAGCTGCTGGGAATCTCACTTCGATGAGCGGCTCGTCGGGAGATGACTGTGCTTCCTCGGCAACGTGCGGGAACAAGGTCTTCGAACACAACTCCTTGATGGTTGATGGACGAGGCTTGAGGGTTCTCGGTGATGGATGTGGATGTCACGGTTTACTGAAATGAAACTCCCGTGACAGAGCTCTTCGCCGGAGAAAATTAAGGATTTGCCGGAGTGATTCAAGAAAGAAGTAAATTTGCAGGTTCGAATTATTTTTCAACTGATACGAGAGAGGGATTTGGGAGGGTGTAGTTTGAATGATTCTCAGATTGAGAACTCGCCGAGATATAAGAATAATCGCGGGTGAATCGTGAGGGGAAAATCTTACACCAAAATCGGAACGACAATTTGATCTGATGAAGAGGAAGGCAGACAAAATATCTTATCCAATTGCACGTTAAATTACTTCAGCAATTTGGGCCAAGAATAAAATGCATAGATTGGGCTTAGCTATTTATTAAGGAATTTGGGTTGGAAAAACAATGGCAAAAAGGGCCAAAAAATATAACTCAAATTAGGCCGAGACCAATTTAATCGGACCGAAAGGAATACAACGCGAAAATAAAAAAATTTCATTCGATTCGATTTAATAAAATAAAACCGGAATAATTATATTTATAATACACACAATTTTATTTATTAATAATACATGTTAATCACATAAAATTAATTAGGAAATTTAGACAATTAAAAAAGTAATGACAAATAAATACATAATAATAATAATAATAATAATAATAATAATAATAATAATAATAATAAAGGGGCTCAAATAATAATAAAGAAAATAAATATATAATAATAAAAAAAATAAATAATAACACCAATAATCCACAATCGAACGGGGTATTTCGTCCTCGGAATTCGAAAATAAACTAGAAAGCAATAAAAAAAAATACAAAGGGGACTCAAAACTCAAAGTTCGGATATCGCCTCCGAAGCTCGGCCTCCTTTTCCCAAGTCGCCTCTAACTCGTCATGTCGGCTCCAAAGCACCTTCACCAAGCTCACTGCCCGCTTCCTCAACTGATGGACCTTCTGGTCCAAAATAGCTACCTGTACCTCCTCGTAGGTAAGGTCTCGCTCGACTTGCAGTTCGCCGAAGTCCACCACGTGACCGGGATCATACACGTATCTCCGCAACATCGAGACGTGAAACACGTCATGTACGCCCGACAAGCTAGGTGGTAAAGCCAGCCGATAAGCCAAGTTCCCGACTCGGGCAAGGATCTCGAAGGGCCCAATATAACGCGGTTTAAGCTTCCCCTTCTTCCCGAAGCGAATCACACCCTTCATGGGCGAGACCTTCAGGAAGACGTGATCTCCAACTGCATACACATGCTCTTGCCTTTCTCGGTCGGTGTAGAATTTCTGCCTCTCTTGGGCAGACCGGATATGCTTCCGGATAGCCTCAACTGTCTCCGAAGCTCTATGAATGAACTCCGGACCCATAATCTTCCTCTCCCCAACCTCATACCAATACAAGTGTGTTCAGACCTTCTGCCCATACAAAGCCTCGAACGGGGCCATCTTGATCGAGGAGTGGTAGCTATTGTTGTAAGTCAGCTCGACCAAAGGCAAGGCACTCTCCCAAGTTAGGCTACGGTACAATACCACAGCCCTCAATATATCCTCGAAGTACTGGATCGTCCGCTCCGACTGACCATCTGTCTGAGGATGAAAAGCTGTACTGAATTCCAGCCTCGTCCCCATGGCTCGGTGCAACGTCCTCCAGAACTGGCCCGTGAACTTCGCATCTCGATCAGACACGATCTCAACGGGAACCCCATGAAGCTTAACTATCTCGTCCACGAACAACTCGGCATACTGACTAGCCTTCATAGTCGTCCGGACTGGCAGAAAGTGGGCAGACTTCGTAAGGCGATCCACAATCACCCAAATCGAATCATGCCTGGTCCTCGACCTCGGCAATCCCACTAAGAAATCCATGGTGATGCACTCCTATTTCCACAAGGGAACCTCAAGTGGCTGCAACTTCCCTCTCGGTTTCTGATGCTCAGCCTTCACTTGCTGACACACTAGGCACCCATCCACGAACCTCGCCACTTGCCTTTTCATACCTCACCACCAGAAAGACTTCCTCAGGTCCTGATATATTTTTGAACTACCAGGATGGACGGTGTACGGGGCACTATGGGCCTCTCTCAGAATCTCCTTTCGCAGCTCCCAAACCTTCGAAACACAAAGTCTACCCTCGAAGAGTAAAGCTCTGTCGGTTGCAACTGCGAATCCACCAATCTGACCACTGAACGCCAAATCCTTCATCCAGCACAGAAAACGGTCATTCGGCTGCTCGGCGACTATCCTCTAACGAAGAGTCGGTCCCACAACCAAGGCGGTTAACATACCCCCGGCTGCCGAAGTCGACTCCACTGCCTCTAGCTGTAGCCGCTCGAACTCCCGAAGCAGAACATCTTGCCCAGTGAATAGACAAGACAGCTGGCCATAACTCCTTCGACTAAGGGCATCGACAACCACGTTAGCTTTCCCAGGATGGTAGCTAATCGTGCAGTCATAGTCCTTGACCAGCTCCAACCACCTACGCTGCCGCATGTTCAGCTCCTTCTGAGTGAAAATGTACTTCAGGCTCTTGTGGTCGGTAAAAATCTCACACTTGCCTCCATATAGGTAGTGCCGCCAAATCTTCAAGGCGTGAACGACTGCAGCTAACTCGAGATCATGAGTGGGGTAGTTTTGCTCGTGAGGCTTCAGCTGCATCGAAGCATAGGCTACGACCCTCCCTTGTTGCATCAGGACACATCCCAAACCCACCTTCGAAGCGTCACTATAGATGGTGAACTCCAAAGTAGGGTCGGGAATAGATAGAACGGGCACGGTAGTGAGTCTCCTCTTCAACTCTTGGAAACTCTCCTCACACTTAGGACTCCAATCGAACCTCACAGCCTTCTTCGTAAGGTTTGTTAGTGGTTGGGCTATCTTCGAGAAGCCCTCTATGAACCTCCGATAGTATCCTGCTAACCCCAGGAAACTACAAACATCGGCGGCACTTCTTGGCGTATCCCACTTGCTCACTGCCTCGATCTTGCTGGGATCCACCTCAATGCCTCTCGCTGTCACAATGTGGCCAAGGAATGCCACAGGATCTAGCCAAAACTCGCACTTCGAGAACTTAGCATACAGCTTCTCGCGGCGAAGAGTCTCCAGCACAATCCTCAGATGCTCCTTGTGCTGGTCGATGCTCCGAGAATAAACCAAGATGTCGTCAATGAACACGATAAAAAACTGGTCCAGGAAGGGATGAAAGACCCTATTCATAAGGTCCATAAAAACTGCTGGGGCATTGCTGAGTCCGAACGGCATGACTACGAACTCATAGTGGCCATAGCAGGTACGGAAAGCAGTCTTAGAAATATCCGACTCCCGTATCTTCAGTTGATGATAGCCAGACCGCAAATCGATCTTTGAGAAGACACTGGCTCCTCTCAGTTGGTCGAAGAGATCCTCAATACGAGGAAGGGGGTACTTGTTCTTGACTGTAAGGGTATTCAGCTCCCGGTAGTCAATGCACATACGCATGGATCCGTCTTTCTTCTTCACAAATAGGACGGGTGCACCCCACGGCGAAACACTCGGTCGAATAAAATCGAGCCTGAGCAATTCCTGGATCTGGGCCTTAAGCTCTTGAAGCTCCTTTGGTGTCATACGGTAAGGGGCCTTAGACACGGGGCCAGCTCCCGGTACTAAGTCAATGGTGAACTCCACTTGGCGGTCGGGTGGTCCTCCGGGCAGCTCGTCGGGAAAAACATCAAGGAATTCGCAAACAATAGAAACTTGCTCCGGAGTACGCTCGGAATCATCCTCGGACACCATAGAAACAAGATAGCCTTGGCAGCTACCCTTGGAAAGGCTCTTCCTAGCTTGCATAGAAGAGATGACTCGAGGCACAGTCCTCGACTTCACCCCAAAGAATACAACCGGCCGATCAGAAACGGGAAAGAGAATGACTTTGCGCTCCTGGCACCGGATGTCAGCTCGATAGCGGCTGAGCCAATCCATGCCCAAGATCACATCAAAGTCTCGCATTTCGATCACATAAACACTGGCCTCCAAAATGTGCCCACCAATACTGACTGGAAGACTGGGAATCATAGAATCAGAAATAATAGTCCTTCCCGAGGCTAAACTAACCTCGAGAGGGTCGCATGGGCACACATTACTAACGGACAAAGCCTCCAAGCAACGAGTAGAAATAAAGGAATGAGTGGCTCCGGTATCACATAAAGCATATACAGGCACATTGGATATCGAAAGCATTCCGGACATAGTACCTGCGTTGTTGGCTGCCTCATCATGAGTGATGGTATACACGCGGGCCTGACCACCAGCTCTCTACTGGTAAGGTGGGGGCTGTCTGGGCTGCTGCTGATGGGGTGGAGGTGGAAGCTGCTGCTGCTGCTGAGGGTAGGGTGGCTGCTGCTGAGGCCTCTTCGGCTCGGGGCACACATGCAAAAAGTGTCCGACACGGTGGCAATTGAAACAGTGTCTGTCGGCTGCTCGGCACTCTCTTGGCCCATGGAACTTTCCGCAGTTAGGGCAACTCAGAAGTTGTCCCTGAGGGGGTCGGTCGTCACGCCTCCCGAAGTTCCCTTTCTTTCATTTCTTCTTGTTCTGATGGTAGTCGGCCTTCCTCTTGCCCGAACTAGAACCGGGTGCAACAGCTGAGATAGGCTGAACCATAGGGGTCTGTTAATAGGATGGGACAGCCGCCCTCTGGGCATTCTGGCAAACCTTTAATTCGGTGGCTCGGCGGACCATCTCGGAGTAAGACAGAGCTCCGTGGACAGTCAGGGTGTAGCAAAGATTGGGGCGAAGACCATCACGGAAACGAAAGGCCTTCTTCTGGTCGGTATCCACGAGCATCGGAGCAAATACGCACATACGGGTGAAGTCGCGCTCATAGACATCCACGGGACGGGGTCCCTTCTTAAGCTCCCAAAAGTCCTTCATCATCTGAGCACGGTGAGCCTCTGGGTAGTACTTGTCCTTGACTATAGTAACCATCTGGTCCCAAGTCAAGGCATCCCTCTCAGCACGAGGACGAAGCCTCCAATAGTCATTTCACCAAGTCCTAGCATCTCCGGTCATCACGAACGAGGCACAACGGATTTTCACCTCATCAGTGGTGAACAACAGATCGAAGATACTCTCCAACTGCTGAAGCCATTCAGCCACAGCTTCGGGGCCCTCAACTCTGGTGAACGCCGGAGGATACATGTTACGGAAATCGATCACAGCTTAGGTAATGGGATCTCTACCCGGAGCATGCTGATGAGGAGGATGAGGCGGGGGAGGTGGTTGCTGCTGATGCTGTTGGCCATTGCGGGTTTGACGAGCCATTTCTCTACATTGAAAAATGAGCCACAAAGATTTAGCACAAAATAAATAAAAGAAGTCTAGAGTTCGACCCTAGAGTTCACATTTTAAAGGTGGATAAAACCTAACCCCAAATATTAGCATTACATTGCTCAGGTATATACCAATACTTATTTAAAACATACCTTAAACAGTGTGGCATGACGAAGACGAGTGGTCAAACACACAAGGTCAATTCACACAATCACTTAATCACATATAAACCAGTCTACAGAAACGCAGACTAGCTCTGATACCAAACTGTAACGCCCAAAAGATTTTTTTAAGACATTTCCGGACTTATCCAAAAATCTTGTTTTAAAATTTTAAAACCATTTATCGATTTATAAAACATTTGGCGCAACTCGAGAACTTTTCAAAGTTAAAACACATAATCAACATAAAGGAAATGAGAATATTCAGCATAATTCAAGTTCCAGGACTAGATTTCAACATATCTAGCAATAGGATTGTCAACATAATCCAAACTGATAAAAATAATCCACATGGTTCGACAGTTCAACCAATCCCAAAAGCAATAGGGAAAAATGACAAAGTCTGATAATCTCAACATAAATATCAAAGCATGCAAAAGCAATATAAAGCAACAATAATGTTTGACCATCCACTCGTCTTCAGTCTCGTCATGCCCAACACATTCTTAACCTGCATCCGTGAAGAGCAGGTGGGGATGAGCACAAATATAAACGAGGTGCTCACCACTATGCATAATATATTGGTAAGAAGCCTATACTAGAGTCATATGCAGGTACATGGTCAAAAGATATAACACACCACTCTCCTACTCATAACTATACTCATGTGCACACCTATCAAAAGCCGCCAGGGGTAAGCCCAAACTCGTCAGCGGGAGTACAGTCGTGCCGAGGTTCAACATCAACGGTCACGGCCCATAGACTAGGCTAAAATGAGTCTACCTATCACAAGGTTGGAGATCGCCCACCACTAGGCACCGTCTCATGACTCACACATACATTCATAGAACACAAAGTATAAAATCTTACCTCAGTTATAACATAGCAAGTTTTTAGATTAAAACCCACCTAGAAATCGAGGTAGGATATCACACGAAAGCAAGTTCGTAGGTCGAGGGCTCGACTCCTCAAACACCTATATTTAAGCGAGATAATATATTAATAATCTATCTCACTACTCGAATTTAACATAAAACCCATGCTTAATAAAAATTAAGACTTAAGGGTTTTAATCAAATTTTTCGTGGACTTGGAACTCTCAAATTTTAGAAAAATGGGACTCGGAGAATTAAAATTGATGTTTCGGGACTTAAAAAAAATTTTCCAAATTCATCTCATTTTGAAAATATTTTTAAAATTGAATTTGGTATTAAAAACGGGCTCCGAAACTCAAAGTTGACAAAAAGGTCGCACTATAATTAAAACACTGCTGGACTGGGCTAAAAAGGCAAAGAAATTGGGCCTCAGCGCGAGTTTGGGCCGCAATCAAGGCAACTGGGCCGAAAATTAAAGTCTAAAGGGGCTGGAAATGGGCAAAATAAAAATTGGATAAATCATGTCAGGTTTCGAACCCCTGACCTGGAGCAGAGGAACAAGACTCGCGCACCGCTGCGCCAAACGTCGACTTGTTAGTTCTAATGAACTCGTTTTTACTTAAACTAAACTAAACGCCTGCGACTGAAAAAAAAAAGGACAGACGCGAGCAGACTGACAACAACTCCAAACAGAAACTCATACAATGACACAGTCTGATCAAAATTCGACCAAATTCAACGACTTCATATTAAACGGCAACTGGGATCGAGCGGTTACCAACAATAACATATTTTCAAAGTTCCGAAACATATTTTTAACAACAATTTTGGCTCGAAAATGGAATAACCAAATATAAAAACAAAAAGGACGACCGGGGGTTCGAATGACCCGAACAACCTAACGATGACTTGAAACAACAAAACGAGACTCCGAACTTATGCACATTTCTCACAGTAACACAACGGTATTCACGTTTATGAAATCGAGAGTTCCAATCATTTCCGAAAATCCACGTATAAACGAAATATAAACAATTAAATGAACCAAAAACAATCCGACTTCAAATCAACTTTCGGTAAACCGAACACATCATATATATAACGTGCGATATATGAAAACGACCACAATAAAGAGAGGATTCGAATAAGTTACCCGAATTTGGGAAACTACGAGTTATTGTACGGGAAACGGACCAAACAACGGGACAGCCGAACGACTTTGGTAACTAACTGCTCGGAACTTGAATGCAGAGACAGTCAAATGGTCTGTTGCTCCTCGATTACACAAACTCGCAGCTGTTGGGAATCTCACTTTGATGAGCGGCTCGTCGGGAGATGACTGTGCTTCCTCGGCAACGTGCGGGAACAAGGTCTTCGAACACAGCTCCTCGATGGTTGATGGACGAGGCTTGAGGGTTCTCGGTGATGTTGGTGGATGTCACGATTTACTGAAATGAAATGCCCGTGACAGAGCTCTTCGCCGGAGAAAATGGAGGATTCGCCGGAGTGATTCAAGCAAGAAGTAAATTTGCAGGTTCAAATTATTTTTCAACTGTTACGAGAGAGGGATTTGGGAGGGTGTGGTTTGAATGATTCTCAGATTGAGAACTCGCCGAGATATAAGAACAATCGCAGGTGAATCGTGAGGGGAAAATCTTACACCAAAATCGGAACGACAATTTGATCTGATGAAGAGGAAGGCAGAGTCAGTCGCAGAGAAACAAAATATCTTATCCAATTGCACGTTAAATTACTTCAGCAATTTGAGCCAAGAATAAAATGCATAGATTGGGCCTAGCTATTTATTAAGGAATTTGGGTTGGAAAAACAATGGCAAAAAGGGCCAAGAAATATAACTCAAATTAGGCCGAGACCAATTTAATCGGACCGAAAGGAATACAACGCGAAAATAAAAAATTTCATTCGATTCGGTTTAATAAAATAAAACCGGAATAATTATATTTATAATACACACAATTTTATTTATTAATAATACATGTTAATCACATAAAATTAATTAGGAAATTTAGACAATTAAACAAGTAATGACAAATAAATACATAATAATAATAATAATAATAATAATAATAATAATAATAATAATAATAATAATAATAATAATAATAATAAAAAGGGGCTCAAATAATAATAAAGAAAATAAATATATAATAATAAAGAAAATAAATAATAACACCAATAATCCACAATCGAACGGGGTATTACAGTGACAAGGCAACTGGGCGCGGACGAACGATGCACGCGTACTCCTCGTGCGCTGGTAACGGCAGCGATGCGGATCATGAGCAGGCTGGAGGAACTGGGGCTCGTGGGTGTTGCTTGCGGTCGCTGCTGGGAGCTGGAGTTGGGCTTGGCTGGGCACGACTGTAAGCGGTAGCTTGCGGTTGCGATCGGCTGGGCCTGGGCGACTTCCAGTGGTGGCGGCGATTTCCGACGAACCTCTGTGGCGGCGGACGGTGGCTCGTGACGGAGGAAGATGACCGGAAAAAAATATGTGGAACTCTCGAATATATTGTACCCAAAAGCCTTCTAATAGATTACCTAAACACCTACTTCGATTAATCTTAGTGGAGTTATTAATAGAATTACCCTAACTCTCGAACGATGTTATTTCTCTCGTTATGTAGGAGAAAAATCGGTCAAGACAACATTGTAGGATAGGTTGGGACATGGTGTTTTTATAGGCTCCATTTGGGACCTTAAGGAGGTGCTAAATATGGGCTTATCCCATTAGGCCGAGGAATCCTAATTCTACTACAATTACTAATCCAATCTAGAATGGGACACTTCTACTACTCATCACCTTCTAGAAGACACCAAAGTCTCCTAACCTTAGACAAGATTCTAATAGGAATATTCCTTTCCTAATTGAATAATAAATATGGAATAAAATTAATTCCTTATTTAATAGAATTAAATAATAAAACATCCCACTAGAGTAATATTATTGGTCTCCCCATTTAGCTCCTAATTTATCAATAAATTCGAACCTCCATGATTAAATAATATTAATCTAATTGATCGATTTACCTCTCTATGTTTAAGATACAACGTCCGTTGATTAATTAAATTACTGACAAAATAATTAATTAACTTCTTATTCATTTCTGAAATTAGTACCACTCAGATCCTTAACCATTATGTCAGACAATCGTCTACCTGCAGGGTTTTAACATAATGTACATTCCTGAGCTCATTTCGGGGACGTCATTAATCTAGCGCACTGGAACATAGTGTTCATAAATAATTTATAATAGAACATCATATAATCATTCTCGTTTACCAAAATATCTCGTATGTCATCCTAATAAAAATAGGAATCACTTGGTAAATCAAATAAACAAGAAGTGAATATATATGCCTATTTTATATTATCTTACAACTTAAGAGAACGAATCAATCACCGAAGGTCTAGATTACAACAATGATCATTGAGTCTCATAATCTTATCCTTCCGCGGTCCTATTCAACACTTATCATAAGTGTTAGTGTAATTCTTCAGTCAAAGACCAACTGAATCGAGAATACACTACAGTCTTTTTCCAAGAGGGGTCTCACTGCCTGTCTAGACTGTGAACGAATAGTTTAGTCTTATAAGGAACTGATAAGTGATCTTTCTGTTCGAAACACTTCGAACCACACTATCTCAATATAAGACATGGAGTATGATTTGCATAAATAAATAAACTACAAACATATGTACTTTGACTGAAACATGATGGCCAGATCAAAATGGAATCGATAGAATCTGCAAAACATAGCTTTTACAGCATATCTCTAACATATTGGCGATTATTTTAATCACCGCAGTATTGCATCGTTTCAACTTCAGAATCATCTGAGCGAATTTTTACCAAGTAATGAGACGTCAGATAATCAGGGGAATTACCGACATGTTCAAAGTTATTAGCAATGAAACTTGGTCGACGTCATGCGGCATCAACAACCGTTATGTCTAAACGCCTGTTGATCCTAGGGGCCACCTTGTTGACATAATTTTTCGTAATCATCAAAGGAAAGCAATTAAGGCAAGTGTAGACACCTCGGTCACAAGAAGGGTAAAAACTGACATCACTCTCCAGCGTCAGGATCACTACCTAGTCGCCCCGTTATATCAACCGAGGTCTCTAGGTAACAGAGACCCTCCTGACCGAGGTCTCTAAAAGTTGACTTTCAAAGTCTTAAGGCGGCGATGACTCATCTAAATCATGATGACTGTTGTCTGGCTGGCAGACAACTGCCTTCCAAAAGCTACTTTGCATTAAATGCGGTCACACCTACCTCGTACCCTGGGTCAACCACTCTATAAGTGGAAGATTTACTCATTTGTAATAGGAATTTTTTGACTCTAGAGAAAAATCAATAACATATTTACATATTTCTCTTCTACCGACATCTTTTATGAAATTTACCGACATCGTTTATGCTCAATAATTTCAACAATTTCTAATCATAGAGTGATTCTACAATGTAGTCACCGTTGTTAACTCTTGTTTAACAACACATATCACATAAAGTTCCTTAAGAAACCTTAGAGGTTCTGACTTCTGCGTGAATATAACACCAATAAATGGCACAATTAAATGTACCCTTAAGTGAGTTAAAGGGCATACCTCTTCTGGATCAAGCAATGAGGTCTCCCACAGTAATCCCGTCATACTTTTCATCCCATCAAATACCTGTTGGAGGTATCACAACATATCATTAGTACCAAGGCCATCAGTTTCTGAAAAAATGACAGAAGAAAAGATAAACACAATGTAAGTTAGGATATAGGCAGTAAATCGATGACCCTTCTGATGACCACAGGATTCAGAAACATGCGGGAATATTTAATTTTATTTTTAGTATAAATAAGACCTGCTTCATTTAAGTCAAAATTGACTGATTATTTGTTTTATTATTCTTGCAAGTCGACAAGATCAAAGAGGGAGATTCACCTTCCATAATCAAAGAAGAAGAAGATCGTGGGATTTACCTTCTTCATGCATATATGTCTTGGGCGAAAAGACTTACCAAAGGATGCTGAAGATAAAAGGAGGACGAGACCAGAGTTGAGGACGATCCTTTTGGCTGGAATTTTTGAGTTTTATGTTTTCTTTCCTTGAGTGAAAAAGAGATATTCAAAACACAGATTTTCTTTGTAGCAGAATGTTTGGAGGTTCATTCTGATCTAGTTAGAGGGATTCGAACTAGAAAATCCACACGGGAGTTGTGGTCAGATAAGTAGTTGTGTGGATCATTATTCAAGTAGAGTGTAGAGGGAGTCTATACTGTAAATCCTTGAATGATGTATGAGTTATTCACATTAATGAAAGAGATCTGAAGGGAGAGTGAGACGCTCTCTTGAAGTTTCAATTCTTATTGGAAACAGCTTCCGCAATTGTTTGAATCTTCGTTACTGTTTGTTTGTTCTATTTACGTGCAACTCTAGATACTTGGTGTTCAAGTATCAAATTTCAATTGGCACCAGAGCGGGTTTTCGTCTTCATTACGAAAGATCTAAGGGTGTGTGTTACTATCAAATCATGAATCAAGGAAGTGGATCGATGTCTAGGCCTCCGCAATTGGACGGTTCGAACTACTCGTATTGGAAGTCTATGATCGATGTCTGGGAGCATCCAGTCATGCCACAAGCACCTAATCAAGGGAAAGAGACAACGAAAGTCACGGTTCCTAAACTTAAGGACATCTGGACAGATGCTGAGAAGCTTCAAGAAGAAGCCCACTATAGTGCCTTGTATGCGATTATGATGGCAGTAAATCAGACAAGACACAAAATGATAGTTCATTGCAAGACTGCAAAAGATGCTTGGAGGGTTCTACAGCGTCAATTCGAAGGTTCAACGGCTGTCAAGGCATCCATACTTCAACGAGTAACTCTTGAATTTGATGAGATCAAAATGAGGGATGAAGAGACAATTGATGTGTACTATGCCAGATTCTGTGATCTGGTGAATCAAAGTATGATGCTTGGAGAAGAAATCGCTGAGAAGCGTCAAGTACAAAAGATTATGAGAACGTTGTTCCCAGGTTTAGAGAGAAAATTACAGCTCTTGAAAGTTTCCAAAGAGTGGCGTTGTTGGATGTTGATGAACTTCTTGGAGGACTAAGGACGTTTGAAATCAACAACAATTATGACAAAGTCAAAAGTAAGGGCTTAGCTCTCAAAGCTGATGTAGTCGATGAAAGCGAAGAAAGCAATGACGATGAAGGTCTGTTGGCAGAAGATAGTGAGCTGAAAGAAGCACTAGCTCTAATCGCACGAAACTATGGGAAGATGAGTCAAAGGCTGTACAAGAATAAATTTGCTGGGAAAAAGGGCAACAATGTCAGCAAGAATGTGGTGCAGGACAAGAAAAGTAGTATGCTACTCTCAAAACCCGATTCACAACGAGTTGAGAAGGATCAATGCAGGGAGTGTCGAGGCTTTGGACACTTTCAGTATGAGTGTGCTAATCTTAAGAAGAAAAAAAGTCTCTGAAGGCTACCTGGGACGATTCAGATGAAGAAGGCACAGACGAACCTTCTTTGCACACTAGCAACATGGCAATTCATACCTCAGTCAAGAAGTTAATGTGTCTCACCACTTCTCGTGCTCCGACCAAGTTTGAAGAAAGTTTAAAAGAAACTGAAGCATCTAAAGATGAAGCAGATCAAAATGTGTGTGTAGATCCAGTACATTTACTTGCTATGGAAAAGTGTGCTCAAGCATCTGAAGCTCTACAGAAGCTTCAAAATGAAGTGTTTATACTTTCAAGAGCAAACAGAGTGTTGAACGAACAAGCACACTCTTCCACTGCTGCTAAAGATTGTGAACTGGATACTGCAAAGGCTCGAACCAGCATCCTTGAGAGCAGTGTCAAACTTGCTAAACAAGACGGACTGGAAAAGGCTCAGACCATTGAATGCTTGAGGTCCGTACTCAGAAACTTCTTGCGGAACGGAAACAAGAAATCGTGCTGCTAAAAACTGAAGTTGGTCGGCTGATGAGCGAACATGCTAGCATGGAAAGTAGACTGAAGGCAAATTCTGCTGAGTTGAACCGAATTGCAGAAGTCGTTCGAAAACTGAACAAGAGAAAAGCAGATCTGAATGGACTTCTCTCCTTGGGGAAACAACATGGTGATCTTACAGGAATAGGATATACAAGCAAGGAGAACAATCCAGAATCCTCAACTGGGACTTCAAATACAAAACATGTTGGCCTTGGATTTGGGGACAAACTTGGAATTGAAGGTATGAACCTGCATGGGAAACCTTCCAGAAATGTGTTTGACATGTTTGTAAAAAGCACTGTAAGTAAGCCTCTATCTCCAAAATCTTTTTTGAAGGTTCATTCTCCTATGCAGAAATCTGTTAGTAAAACTCACCATAATTGCTCCTATTTGTCATTACTGTGGTGTAACTGGTCACATACGTCCCAAATGTTATAAAATGCAGCATGATCTTTGTACAAGTAATGGTAGGGGTTGGAATCAGTCTGGCATTCCAGTGAAGGTTCATGCCAGAACCCTCCCAAATAACCGTGCCAAAACTCATCAAGTGTGGGTTGTTAAGAAATCCTTCAACTGTTTTGCCTCTATTTTCTCTCAGGACTTCCTTGAAAGGTAAATGGTATCTGCACAGCGGCTGCTCTAGACACATGACTGGGGAACCTTCTTACCTGATGAACATTCAGTCCGGTTCAAATGGGGAAGTCACGTTCGGTGACAGTGTGAGCAATAAGGTTATTGGAACAGGCTGTTTAAATTTGGGTGGGTTACCTAAATTAACTGATGTGTTACTTGTTGATGAACTAAAGGCAAATCTTTTGAGTGTGAGTCAACTCTGTGATCAAGGCCTTAGTGTCGGTTTCTCATGTGATAAGTGTTATGTGAAAGATAGTGAAAGTTCTTGTGTATTTACAGGTTCTCGTCCATTGGATAACTGTTACCTTGTTGATTTTAATGAAAAATGTCTTTTCTCAAATTTGAGCGAACCTGAAATCTGGCATAAACGCTTAGGGCATATTGGATACTCTCACCTTGTCAAATTGACCAATGCAGGTGTAGATAGGGGTGTTCCAAAGATTGCTATGAAGGACCAGCCAATTTGCGAACCTTGTCAACTAGGTAAGCAAACGAGGACATCCCACAAGTCACTGAACCACATTGCTTCTAAACAGATCCTAGAGCTTCTTCACATGGATCTCATGGATCCCATTCAGGTAGAAAGCTATCAAGGTAAAAAATATATTTTTCTGTGCGTTGATGATTTCTCTCGATATACTTGGGTTGATTTTTTGCGTGAAAAGTCTGACACATTATCTACCTTTAAGTCACTTTGTTTGAAGGTTCAAACTGAGAAAGGCTTTCCCTTAATAAGTATTCAAAGTGATCATGGAAGAGAGTTTGAAAATTCTGAGTTTGCGGAATTTTGTGATTCTCTGGGTATTTGTCACGAGTTCTCAGCTCCTAAAACTCCACAGAAAAATGGAGTTGTTGAAAGGAAGAATCGTACTCTACAAGAAATGTCCAGAGTCATGTTGAACTCCAAAAAATTTTCTTCTAGATGGTGGGATGAGGCAGTCAATACAGCATGCTACCTCGTGAATCGAGTGTACCTTTGTTGAGGTATTGGTCTGACTTCGTATGAACTCAGATACTGGTGTGACTAACACGGAAGACTTCATCAGATATGCCTTTATGCTTTACAAAGCATTTGTACAAGACTGATCCCACTCAAAAGGAACACCTTTCTTTATTAGATGACTAAAAGATTGGCATCGTCCGGCTAGATTTGAGATGAACCTTCGAAGATACGCTAACTTCCCTTGCAGACTTTAAGCTCGTGAATATTGCACGGCTCGGGCATCCTTAGTATTGCATCCAGTTTTGCTTGCTCGATCTCTATTCCACGGTGACGAACAATGAACCTAAGAAACTTCCCCGACTTGAAACCAAATGCACACTTCAACTGATTCATCTTTAGTTGATATCTTCTCAAACATTCAAAAACCATCCTCAAATCTTTTAGGTGGTCTTCTCGCTTCTTCAATTTTACCACGACATCATCAACATAACACTCGATGTTTTTGTGGAGTATGTCATCAAATATCTTTTGCATTGCCCTTTGATAGGTAGCTCCAACATTCTTCAAGCCGAATGGCATCACCTTGTAGCAATATATGTCCTTTGGAGTGCAAAATGCAGTCAACTCTTCGTATCTTGGCGACATGCGTATTTGATTGTATCCTGATAACCCATCCATAAAGGACAATGCTTCATGTCCGGTCGTAGCATCAATCATGAGTTCAGTTATTGGCAAGGGGAAGTCATCCTTGGGACAAGCTTCATTAAGATCTCGAAAATCTACGCAAACTCAAATTTGCCCATTTTTCTTTCTGACTGGAACGATGCTCGAGATCCACGTAGGATATTTGACTTCTCGAATGAAACTAACTTCAATGAGTTTATTCACTTCAGCTTCAATCAACAGGATCTCAGGTTGGAATCTCCATTGTGCTTGTTTAACAGGTTTTGCCCCCTTTCTCACGGACAAGGTATGCACCGCCACCTTTGGTTCTAGTCCAGGCATCTCTTTATACGACCATGCGAATACATCTTTAAACTCACCAAGAAGCTCTATGTAAGCCTACTCTTCATCTACAGTTAGCAAGGCACTGATGTACGTCGGGCGAGGATCGTCAGCATCACCCAAGTTAATTTCCTTTAGTTCATCGACTGTGGCCTTAACACCTTCTTCAAGCTCGGGAGATGCGTCTTCGGCATCTTCTTCTTCTATCAGAGTATCCTCGCATATAGTGATATGGTTCACGCGAGCAATATCCTCGCTCGACTCACTAAGAGTATTGAAGTCAATAAATACTCTCACCCGTCCATTTCTTCCCGTGAAAAGTCGTGTCTGCACATTTTCGTCAACTCCAGTGATATACCCTTTTCTCACCAAATAAGCTATCATTTGGTAAAGAGAACGTTCATCATCTCGAGGAGTTGTAAGAGTACCGCAAGCATAGTAAGACGAAGCGACACTTTCTCTATCCTCGACTTCATCGTCATGCACTCTTGTATGAATGATCGTGTGCATTTTAGCTTTTAAAACCTCCCCGCATGATATGGTCAAGATGGTTTGACGCTTCATACGTGAAGGATTTCTGCTTCTAAGCTTTACAGCTGGACCCGCACCTTTTCCTTGTCTTAAAGGCTTTGACTGCTTGAAGGATCCAAGTCGTTGAAATACAAAATGTTTGCCCTTAGACTTTCGAACTGGACCGAGTCTTTGAAACACTGACACTTTTTGCCCTTTCTTTATGACGTCAGTGGATGAGACATCTCCTTCTGAAACATGATTTGCATTTGCTCTCTTGATGGCAATTCTAATTGGACTTGGTACCACATAACCAAGACCTGCCCGGTTGTGCTTTTGCTCTTGAGGTATGAGCTTTCCCAAAGAGCGACTTTCATTGGGGTTGTATCCTGCTTTGACGAGAAGCTTGTAGGCTTTTGGTTCAAAACACTTTGAGTTCTTCAATCTTTCACCAAGTTCCGTCACGACTCCGTTGCTTGGATGAACAAACTTCGTAGGTGGTTGGGAGATTGGTTTCCCGTCATTTATCTTCGGCAGCGGCACACTAACTCTTTCAAAGAGTTTTCTATCTTTTCAATCTTTGGTTCTTCACTTTCAGACCCTTTATGCTGCTTGGATGGGAGTTTCTCAACTGGTTTTGCATCTTTGAAATAATATTTGGCATCAGCGAAATGAGTTTCAGCCTCCGTAAAAGGTTTATCGTCACCAAGCATGGTCTTCACAACGCCATTTTTGCAATATTTGAAGCATTGATGCCATGTTGACGGAACCACGCCATTCTCATGAAGCCATGGATGACCAAGAAGCATGTTGTAACAAGTCTTTGCGTCGATAACGTGGAACATTGCGGTTGATTCCATATCTTCCATCAACAATTCCAACCTTATGATGCCAAGAGCTCTTTGCCCCCCTTGGTTAAAGCCTTGAATCATCAGTCGACTATTACCAAGTTCTTCTGTAGTCATTCCTAACTCTTTCAGCGTGCGAAGAGGCAAGATGTTAACTGCTGATCCTCCATCAATCAATATTCGATTAACTTTTTGCTCTTGCACATATCTGGCCACGAACAAGGGTCTTTTGTGAGGCTTAGAACCAAGCAGCAGGTCTTCATTAGTAAAGACCATCATGGAAGCATTATCAATATGGGGATTTTTAACCTCAGGCAGATTGTTTTCTTCTAGCGGAGCTTCGTGCTCATTTGTCATGTTGCAAGCTTCACTTATATGATTAGCAGTTGCACTGCTTTCTTCCAGTGAGATTTTTCCTTGGCGTGTCAGCTGCATAACCTTGTCCTTGAATACGAAGCAATCATGAATTGGATGCCCTACAAGACGGTGGTATTTGCAATATTTTGGGTCGTTCACCTTACTGGCTTCTTCAGGATGCTTCATCTCGGGTAACTCAATAAGCTTCGCTTCATTAGATCATCAAATATGCCAGAGACGTCTGAATCAAGGAACGGGTACTGTTTTGCTTGCATTTCTTTCAAAGTCAACCTTCTTTGTTCAATTTCCTTGGGGACATCCTTCTTTTCAACGGCTTTATCAGCAGCTTTTCCTTTGAACTTGACAGGCATAGCATTGATCGTCATGGACTCGTTATTTTGAGATTTTGAGGAAAATTTGCCCCTTTTCCTTTGCTCGTATCGATCCTTGGAGCTTTGGGGTTCTTGGATTGGAGGACCATTAGCTCCACTTGCGGCCATGCTTAGCTCCATGTCGTGGGCTCGAGTCGCTAACTCTTCAAATGTTTTCGGCTAAATACCTTGAAGGATGTAACGAAGACCCCAACTCATACCTTGAATGCACATCTCAATGGCAGAAGCCTCAGATAGACGATCTTTGCAATTCAGACTCAAGTTCCTCCACCTATTGATGTAGTCGATGACTGGCTCCTCCTTCTATTGTCGAGATGTAGTGAGCTCGATCATGCTGACTGTACGTCCCGTGCTGTAAAAGCGACTAAGGAATTCATGTTCCATTTGCTCCCAACTATCGATTGAGTTTGCTTCCAAATCAGTGTACCAGTCGAATGCAACCCCTTTGAGTGAGCGAACAAACTGCTTCACGAGATAATCACCATGGGTTCCCGCATCGTTGCATGTCTCAATAAGCTATATGTTGCTTCGGGTTGCCTTTGCCATCAAACTGCTGGAACCTGGGTGGTTGATATCCAACAGGCATCCTCAAGTTATCGATCATTGGTAAATATGGCTTGACATAACTGTGGGTTGACTTGGAACCACCATCAAGTTTATCCGTAATTGTCCCCATAATGAAATCCTTCAGCTGATCAATGGGGATTATTCCCGTG